CAAAAACTTTTCATTATGGCAAAAGTCTCATCTTCTCTTAAAAGAAGAATTTTGAATTGTTATACAAAAATCTAACACTCAATTTCAAGTCATTTGTCCAAAACATGGCCACAATCACTCAAGATTGAAAGTCGAGAATTGTCCACAAGAAGGTTATGCACCGCCGCATGAAAATGAGAAAACGTTAACACAGTCGAAGCAAACTGCGTCTCCAACCCCGACTCAGTTTGAGAGATGATGTTAAAGATAATGATAAAGAGGAGTTTGAGTACATATGATATATCAATCCTAGTTAGTGATAATTTTATTAAGTAGTTGATAGGTTAAGTTTTTATTAATGATGGTATTTATCTATTAGTTTAGAGAGTCTATAAATATGTACCTACCTTTTGTTTTGAAATCAATGAAAACACAATGTAATCTTTCAATCTATTTCTCAGTAGTTTATTATTTATTTCAATATTGGAAGTGAAAAATAAAGGAAAAGATGTTGAAATTTGTCATTTATCAAATCTATGTGGTAATTCAAAAAGCTACTTGAAGAATTTGATTTGGAAATATATTAGGATATAATATATTTTTTTTAAAAAATGTCTTCTTCAAAAATATCTCACCCCACTCGGATAAAGTTTCTGAATCCGCCACCTACATGTCAAACTTCTCATTTAGCAAATGGCAATTGATATGTTGAGGGCTTTTTTTTTTTATATTGAGAGCAAAATTTAATTAAGTACTGATAATATCTTTATATAAAATTTTAAGAGATTTATTTCATTTATTTTTCCTCATTTATCTCTTTTCCTTCCCAGCTTTCCCTTTTCAATTATCGAAAGACGTGGGATTTGTGGATCGCTTCATTAAACAAATATCTGTTGATTTTTGTATTCATTCTAATTAATAAATTTAAACTACAAAAATTTCTTAATTGATTACTAGCGCTCCTATGCACCAACGGAAGAAAGGTCATAATCGTATTCTAAGTTGGTAGCATATTCATTGTGGTTAGATATTGTTTCAAGGGATTTTGACAATGAAATCTTCCTTATTCTGCCGTCATCGTTGGAGCATGAATACTTGGAGTGCCTTTTTCAATCTTTGATTATGTTAAGAAAGTTTTGTTGAATTTCTCATGTTACAACTTACAAGTGCTGGTTTTAGATTAAAAAAATTGATACTACAATTTATTTGTCAATAATATACATTTTAAAATAAACGTTTCATATTAACTCCATGGAATTTTGGAATAAAATCTTATATTGCAGTCATTGATATTTTGCAGACAATGGTTGCTTTTTTTTTTCTTGTTTTTTTTTTGTGAGGTTATGTAGTAATTTAGTTGTTCTCTTAAAGAAAGTAATTTTTTTCTTAGTTAATGAACCAGCCAGTTGCGAAAGGAAGTGGATCAAGAAAAGGAGTGATATAATTATGAAAAGATAAATAAGTTAAATCTTCGAAATCTTATATGAGGGTATTGTAGATAATTAAAATTTTTTTGCTCTCAATATAAAAAAGGTGCTCTAAATTTATCATCAAATTCAGTTTCAAGCTCTTTACTGTGGTTCGGTCCTTACAGAAATTGTACCGCTACAATGGTATTTAATCATTGCAAACAGATTAATGATCATTACTTAGCTAAGGCTGTTAGAATTATCACAAGAAACTGTTGTTTGCAATTATGCAACCACTACGTCATTTGGTAATTGACATGAGGCTGAGAGTCAGGCCTCAGTAACAAGTCCAACATATATGAACAAATAAACCAAAGAAGATTCACAATTCATAGAAAAGGCAGATCATTCGCAGCCATTTGTTGGTGTTTTGATGAGAAACAAAACTGTCACAAAAATGGTAATCAATTTAGGAAGTAAACTAAACCAAAACTAGTAATTTCTAACAAAAAAATTAAAACTCGGAATCTAACAGATTTATTATTTAAGAGAGAGTTCCTTAGAGCATCTCCAACCAGTATACTATAATTTACATCAAATTTAGTGTAAAAATGAAATATTCTAAGTATCTTTTTACACCAAAGTTTTTTACACTCCAACCTTAATGCATTAAAATGTCTATCTATTAAAGGTTGTAGTTTAATTAAAATCATGTAGTTTGGTTATAATTTTATGAAATTTGTTCCTTATAATCGATTTTCATTTGATTGTAGAAGTATCAAATTTTTTTTTTACTTTTTGTTTCATATTCAATTTTAATGATAACTAAAAATAATTCTTTTAAAAAATAAAAATTGACACTCAATATGGGTCTTATTTCGAAGGTGTCAACAAAATATTTAATATGATATAATTTTCATAACATAATTCATTTTACTATATTAATTGCGTAGCAAATATGTATTTAGATCTAAGTAAAAAGATAGTGCACTAAAAAAGTGTAACGAACAATTTACACAAAATTTGGTGTAATACTATTCATTGCATCAAAATAATGTAGTGATTTAATGTTTTCGTTGGAGTGCAAACTTCACATTAAAACACCAAATTTAGTGTTTTAGTGTCTTCGTTGGAGATGCTCTTAGCTACATTGTTCGTAAGGTCAACATGGTCTTTTTGCTTTGGCTGGATCCATTTAATTAGTCAAATAAAGGCTCCTATTCAAATTTAGTCAGTAGATAAGCCGGCTGGTCATTTTACCTCTCTAACTTACAAAATAATCCCTTAGTGATCTCATGAAAATTCCAATTAAGAAAATGTACATAAGCCAATGCTCCGTAAAGGGCATCTTGTCTAGAAAATCTAGTTCGGCACCGAGAATCGAGAAGAGAATACACACAAAATAATAATAATAATAATAATAATAATAATAATAATAATAATAATAATAAAAATTGTATAAATGTGTCCTCATGCGACATGGCTATAAAGTTCGAGTTAGTGCATGCATTTCCTCTAGTGGGCTAATTAGATAAGCTACTCTTTGCCCATTTGTAAGGTTTACTACACTAAACAAATTATTTATTATTGTCATAACCATTTCTGTAATTAAGAAATTAATTCACAAATTGTATGGAAAACATTTTGCCAACCTCCATTTCCTCAGTAATCTAAGTACATTAAATGAAATTTAATGGGTAATTGTGGGAACATAACAACACCAAAATGAAATCTTTCTTAGAAATAAGTAACTAAAGACACACTTTAGTTAATAATGGTGGAAACTATTTAGCATAGATGAAATGCACTTAACAACGCAAAGGATTAAGGATCATGAAGAAACTATTATAAATGTGTCTTACGAATTTTGTGTGTGTTTAATTTTTTTTTAACGAATCTAATTTTGACCTGGATGGATGGGTGGAGGGAGTTCTTAGGTAAGATGCAAAAAGGGACACAAATATTCACATCATTGAAAAATGCTAATCATATGCAACCAAATAGCATGCTTGACAACATCAGTCCTAAACTACCTAATTTGTTTCCTTAAATTACTCACTAAAAAACAACAGATAAAAAAACTAACAAATATCGAGAAGAAAGAAAGACAAATCACCAAATGGACATGCCAAAATGGCAAATACGTACGTATTAGTATTAAATTATCCATCTATAATGATGAGTAAAATCCGGCTTACGTTCTACACCAGTGATCACTGCTTTCTCCATTTCCTTCGTGTTCTTCCCTAAATCTACATTCCCCAAAACCACTCATCTCCTTCTTCGTTGTTTTTCCTGTCTTAATTCTAACCAATATTACCCTATTTCTCGCTTTCTTCTACTTTCCCTGTCCTCAAAATTTTTTTACAAAGTTTAAAAATTTAAAAACAAAGCTACTAAAAAAAAAAACATAAAAAAAGGCTAAAAAGAGTTTCTTTTATCATGTTCTTCTGCTCCTCCGCCACCACGTCTCTCCCGCCGGGTATTTGATCATAAACCAAAACAAAGGCCGGAAAGCTACCCAACATTGTAATGGGTCCAGTTACCCGCTTATCCTATCATCCTTCTCCCCGGGTCGACCCAGAATGTGAGGCCGCCGCGAGCGAGCTTTTGTGGCCTTTTGGGCATCTTGAAGGGCTTGACAGAGATGATTTCCGGGAAGCTGCGTACGAGATATTCTTCACGGCATGCCGGTCGTCCCCCGGGTTCGGGGGAAGGAGTGCAGTTTCGTATTACAGCTCGTCGGATGAAAAGGATGGAAGCAGATCCGGATCGGGTTCGGGACCAGGGTCGGCTTTCGGGTCACCTGGTTCTCCGGTGAAGCCTCCCGGGGTGGGGATGGCGGTGACGAGCCGGGTGAAGAGGACTTTGGGGTTGAAAATGCTGAGGAGGTCGCCGTCCAGGAGAGCTAGCTCGATTGGGGCGGCACCTTCTTCACCGAGTTCTGCCGGGTCCGGGTCAAGCCCACGGTCACCCGGGTTCTCTAATTCCTTGCCGTCCAGGCCCCGCCGGCCGATGACTTCGGCTGAGATCATGCGGCAGCAGATGAGGGTGACGGAGCAGAGCGACAATAGGCTACGTAAAACTCTCATGAGAACCCTTGTTGGACAAGTACGTAATTTCACAACAATCACGCAATTTTATATGAATTCCATGCACATTATTATAACTAACAAAAAAGGACATACAAACTAAATGATATAAAAAGAGGAAATAACGAAGAAATATTGATAAACTCTGCCAAATGGAAGCGATTTTACAAACAAGAGATGTTGGCATTTTTTCTTGTTAATTTTTTTGAAATGTAGTGGTTGGGAAGAAACAAAATGTATATGATTGATATATCTAACCTCACATAGTGGGATAAATAAATGCTTTTTATATTGTATGATTAACGTCTTAAAAGAGTTTTGTCATTTTATAGCATGGCAAATAAAATTTATGGAAATTAGCTTTCTATGTATCTCCTCAATATTGTGATAATTCAGAAGAAGGCATTTTGTATTTGGTCAATTACTTGTTCAAGCATTAAACCTCCAAGATAAGTTTTGTCAAAACTTGTTTGCCCTGATTGATCGAACATTTTAACAATGTCAACCATTTTTGGAGCAGATGGGCAGGCGTGCGGAGACAATTATCCTTCCATTGGAGCTTTTACGCCATCTAAAACCATCTGAATTCACAGATGCTCAAGAATACCATGTATGGCAAAAGCGGCAGCTCAAACTCTTGGAAACAGGACTCCTTCTTCATCCCGCCATCCCACTTGAGAAGTCTAACGAGCACGCGATGCGCCTCCGCGACATCATCCAGGCTTGCGAGGTCAAAGCGATCGACACTGGGAAGAATTCGGAGACCATGAAATCGCTTGTCAATTGTATAGTTTCCTTAACATGGAGAAGTGCGGATGGTTGTCCTACTGATATTTGCCATTGGGCAGATGGGTATCCTGTTAATGTTCATATCTATATCGCGCTTCTGTGCTCCATTTTCGACATCAAGGATGAAACTTTAGTACTTGATGAAGTGGATGAGCTTTTGGAATTGATGAAGAAGACATGGTCTACATTGGCAATCAACAGACCAATTCATAATTTGTGCTTTACGTGGGTGCTGTTTGAGCAATTTATAGTGACCGGACAGGCTGAGCCTGATCTGCTTTCCGCGTCATTGACTATGTTGGCTGAAGTAGCGAATGATGCTAAGAAAGTTGACAGGGAACCTCTGTATGTGAAGATGTTGGCATCAGTCTTAACATCAATGAAGAAGTGGTCTGAGAAGAGATTGTTGGACTATCACAAGAACTTTCACAAGGCAACAATGGGATTGATGGAGAGCATTGTTCCTTTGGTGTTTTCAGCTTCAAAGATCTTAGAGGAAGATGTCCCTGGCTATCTAACTTCTGCATCAGAGAATGGTGAAATTGCAGAGAATTCAGAAGGGAATCGGGTGGATTTTTACGTTCGTGCATCTATGAAGAATGCATTTGCTAAGGTATGCTTTTCATATTCTTCAAAAGTGGTAAACAGTTCATGTTTTAAGGATAGCCCTTCTTTTATTCATGTTTGACTTGGCTTAATTTTGTTGAAACTTAAACCTCTATAATACATTAACAGTGAATGACATTTATAATACTATGAAACCTTCCAAATGTGGTGATTCTGTTCCATATTTCTTCTGAATAGCAGAGGAATAATAAGTTTTTTTTATACATATATTTTGACAGATACTGAAGGATGCACATATAGATGGAGCTGATGTCGAAATAAATGAAGCGAGCGAAGTGCTCATTAAATTGGCTGATGAAACAGAACGTATTGCTGAGAAAGAGAAAACAATCTTCAGTCCTTTGCTCAAGAAATGGCACCCTATTTCAGCTGGTGTTGGAGCCGTAACACTACATTCATGCTACGGGACATTGTTAAAGCAATACCTAAGTGCATCATCCACGCTAACGGAGGATACCGTGTCATTGCTGCAGAGGGCTGGTAAGCTGGAGAAGGTTTTAGTTCAGATGGTTGTTGAGGACTCTGTTGACTGTGAAGATGGAGGCAAAGCCGTGGTTCGAGAAATGGTGCCGTATGAAGTTGAATCAATCATTTTGAACCGCTTGAAACAATGGATTCAAGATTGTCTAAAGAGAGGGAAGGAAATAATCCGGAGAGCAAAGGAAACTGAAGTAAGTTTGTTCAAATTAGTCATACTTTCTTTCTCGTTGCTTCTGAGAAACATAACAAGAATTTCAAAGTACAATAAACAACAACTTGAAGCTAGAACTTGTGATTGCAAACTCTTTTTAAATTCTAACAAATTAACCATCTGATGATAGACATGGAATCCAAAGTCCAAGACCGAGCCATATGCGCATTCTGCTGTTGAGCTAATGAGACACGTAAAAGAATCCATGGATAGCTTCCTACAAACACCAGTGAACATAACTGAGGACTTGGTCCATGATCTTGCTGATGGATTCGAGCATCTGTTCCGAGATTACATCACATTTATTGCTTCATGTGGTAAAATTTTACACTTCCTTTTTACACTTTGACATCCAATGGTATCGTCCAATTCAAAATACTCTGGATAGTTCATTTCCATGCATTATCTACACTCTAGTTTTCTCTGTTAGAACTTTTGCCTTCATTCTGTGTTGCTCATATCAATGATGTATGGAATGACAACCAATCGCGTTTGATGTTTTCTTCAGGATCAAAGCAGAGTTATCTCCCAACGCTTCCTCCTCTAACACGATGTAGCCGTGAAACAAAGTTTCTTAAACTCTGGAAAAGAGCTGCATGCAGTGTTGGCACTGATGATCCAAACAATCATTTTTCAAATGAAGGCAATCATCCACGCCCTTCAACTAGCCGTGGAACACAGCGCTTGTACATTCGCCTGAACACCTTGCATTACTTGAATTCACAGCTCAACTCTCTGGACAAGACATTGGCCCTTTCCTCAAAAATCATGCCCTCACCACGTCGCTTTGGCAGTCGAAACAGACAACTTGATTCCTCTTCCTATTTTGATCACACACGAACGACAATTCAAGTTGCTACTCAACATGTATCAGAAGTTGCAGCGTACCGCCTAATCTTCCTGGATTCAAACTCTGTATTCTATGGAAGTCTCTATATAGGCGATGTTGTAAATTCGCGTATTAGGCCAGCTCTGAGAATACTAAAGCAGAATCTTACTCTATTATGTGCAATCGTCACTGAAAGAGCTCAACCCCTAGCTCTAAAGGAAGTAATGAAAGCTTCCTTTGAGGCTTTCCTAATGGTTTTGCTTGCTGGAGGAAGCTCCAGGATATTTTCTAGGGCAGATCATCAGATGGTTGAGGAAGATTTCGACAACCTGAAGCGAATGTTCTGCACTTGTGGAGAAGGGCTCATAGTAGAGGATGCCGTAAACATTGAAGCTGAGACAGTAGAGGGCGTGATCCTGCTAATGGGACAATCCACAGAGCAGTTGGTGGAAGATTTTAGCATTGTAGCCTGCGAAGCAAGTGGAATCGGCATGGTTGGTGCCGGACAAAAGCTCCCTATGCCTCCTACAACTGGAAGATGGAATAGATCAGATCCTAATACTATATTAAGGGTTCTTTGTTATAGGGATGATCGTGCCGCTAATCACTTCCTTAAGAGGACATTCCAATTAGCAAAGAGAAGAGGTTGAAACTCAAAATCAAACCAAATTATGTACATTTCTGCCACTAATCTACCTTCATTAAACTTGAGAGGGGTACATATTTGCATCATGCATAAATGTAGTGGTCAGAAAATACCTTTTATAACTCTATTTTACATGTTACAATATATACATACATAAGTTATAGTGAGATAGAAAGGGCAGTACTAATTTTGGTCTTAGTACTCCATAGTCCTAGGTGGTATGGACTACTAAGGATTGTTGTCGAATGATGGCAACAGAAACGAATAGGAATAAATCTCTAAAACTGAGGTAATGACTTCAATTTTGATTTCTTATTGCTGAAGGAGACATTTTCTTTTTTGAATTAAAGATTTGAAATGGCACATTTTTCATTATCTGTTACAACTTAGAATACACTCAAAAGGGGAGCAAAAACAAAAAAGCTTGCAACTGAGGCTTTAAATAGCACAGCTGAAATATTTGCTGTAATAAATATTTCACAGCTTTATTTCATTACTGCGGGCTAATTTCTACTGTTGCACTAGATCACCTTAGACAAATGGAAATCGCAAATCGATCTTTGAACGAAATGTGAAGTGCCATTCCAATTGCTTGTGGCTCCAGCATTTAGTGTTTGCGAAAATGAGGCACTTGCAGAAGCTCAAACTTGTCTCAGATACTTGGAACCAATTAATATAGAGAATGCCAATGTTGGTTCTGTATACTTCATTAATTTTTGTTATTGTTCCCCATTACTTGGAGAGGGATCTTTTTCTGTCCTTCCAGTTCTTCTTTGAGCACTTCCATTGAGTCTGAAATCTCAGCCTTGTAGTTAAAGTACTTGGTCACAACCAGGAAGGCGATGAAATTCAAGCAGCTTAGTACTGCAAGGAATGCAAAATATAAATCAAGGCGAGATTTGTTAAGGTTGTTCTGAATCCATCCCTTGTGACCATGCGCCTTGCTGATGTGAGAAACCGCGGAAAGGATGAAACTGCTAAGGATGTTACCAATTCCCACACTAGTCATGGAATATGAAGTTCCCAAACTCTTCATAGTATCAGGTGCCTGATCATAGAAAAACTCAAGCCTGGCAGTCTCCGTGCATGAATCAGCTACTCCCATAAGGATAAATTGTGGAAGCAAAATGAAGATGGACAATGGAAGCTGTCCTCCACTTTCGACTAGGCCATGTTTCTTAGCCACATTGAGCCTGTACCTTTCAGTAAGGGAAGCAATGATCATAATGATGATATGAAGCAGAAATCCAAGTCCCAATCTTTGAAGAAGACTTATGCCTCTTGGATTCTTGGTCCACCATTTGACAAGTTTAACGAAAACTCGATCATGGAAGATAACACAAGCAAGCATAGTCACTGTCACAAATGCACCTAAACTGGCTGGTGGCAATTTGAAATGCTTCCCCATGGATTTGTCAAGGGTTATGCCTTGTTTGATGAAAAGGGTGTTGCTCTGAGCAACCATCACACTTGGAAGTACTGAGAGAGCCAAGATTGGAAGCATTCTCAAGATGAGTTTGGTTTCCTCAACTTCTGTCACTGAGCATAACATCCATGGACTTTTTGAACCAGTCTTCACACATGCTTTGTTCAAGAACCTGCATCGTATCACATAATTCAGCAACCAAGAAAAAAAAAACAAAAAATTTCAAGAAAAGAGTAATGATACATTTAGTAAATTCATATAGATAACACATATGCGACAAATCGCTCATCACTATACAATATTATATTTCTATCAGTGTCGTGTTACTATTTGAACCACGTTTCACTATATGAATTCACTGACAGTATCATTATTCATGGGTGGACAGAAGAAACACTAACCTGAGGGTGTTTGTGTTATCAATTTTGAACCTTCCTTTCTTGGTGTATTCTTCAGTATCAAGTTCATGTAGTTCATTGGGATGGGTAGGCACAGTGACATTCCATTTCCTAATAGCAGCAATGATAACTCTTGCCATTTTTGTAAATGGGCTTCCACTGGGCTTCTTGTGCCTATAGAAAGGAGTACCACAAAGGAAAACTGTGATGGAAAGTGCAAGCCCAACAGTTGGGATGCCGTATCCCAAGGCCCAACCAACATTGTCTTGAATGTACACAAGTACTGTGTTGCCGACAAGAATACCGATGAATATGCTAGCCATCCACCAGTTGAAGAAGGAGAGCTTTTGGGCTTTTTCCTTCGGGTCAAAATCATCAAATTGGTCCGCCCCAATTGTTGAGATATTGGGCTTTGTACCTCCAGTGCCAAGGGCCAAGATGTACAAAGCAGTGTAGAAAACTCCCAATTCTAGTGATGTAGCTTTGGGGCAATCCGCTGCTGTTATATCAGCGCATGGAGGTGGTCTAAAGCCTGGTACTGAAACTGATAGTGTCAGCAAGCACATTCCCTGCAGTCAAAATGGCATCTATTCCGATTAGATTTTCTGTCTCAACTTTTATATCCAACCCGATTCTTTAATAAGATAACGTGGAATTACATATAATTACTGTTGCTAAGTTTCACGCATTATGAAATAGGAATATAAAATGCAAAAACCTGGAAGAAAGAATCAATATGATAACCGGATATTGTATTTGCAACTATAGATGGGAGCTAGACTCTAGGGTAAAAAAACGAGGAAATGGTCCGCGTGCAGCTTCAGCTATATGTTTTGTTTGGTTGAATATTTTGGCATCATATCCCGAACTTTACTTTGGAATCAACTATGGGAAAGAGCTACAAATGTCAATTTTGAGTAGTCTATTGAAGAGAACTTAAAGCAAAAGTACTTGATTCTGTAGCCTTTTTGATAGCCTTTGTGAAAAGTCTCCTCTCATTTCCTTATCTAGTTGAAAAGATTACAAAAACTTCGAGAAAATGAAAGGGTATTCACCCATCCAGAAAAGTACTCTTTTTATTAACTTGAACTCTTGTTTCAACAAGCTTAAAGTAAGCATAATTAACATGCACAATCCTACCATCGATAGGCCATGCCAAGGTGTGCCTTGAAAAGATTGAAAGATGGGTGCACATGACATTAATTTATTTAATATGATACGTTCTTTTATTTGATTATTCTAAAATTACTTATGACAAGAAGGCATGGAGAGACTCTATGTCACAAGATCATAAAAGAAAGAGGGCTTCCTTTATTCCTTTTCTTTACTCAAGTGAGACCACATTGGAAAGTTTAACCACATTGAGAAAGTATCAAAGTCATATTTTCCAAAAATGATTCAATTATTCGAAAGCTACGTACGTAGGTACATACAAATTATGAAATGCAGTATATGTATTTCCATGTCGCGTCTCAGATAATTAGTAATCAGTAAATATAATATTCTCTCAGAATATCGATACGTATGCGAATCATTCACTGATTTATTAAACAAATAAGTATACGTAACCACTTGACTATATTCTTTGATATTACGATCTAATAAAATATCCATACCTTTTTAAAAATTCAATGCCGAAACAAAAAAATTCTTGATGGAATAGGACTAAAAATTTCAACTAGTTTGACCTTTTTCCTATACTCAATTATTGGGCTCCAATTGATAAAGGGTTCCAGTGTGGAGAGACATACCGAGAGATAGATTGCACAAGCAATCACGAACGTCCAATATCGGCCAAGATGAGCATCAGCAAGATATGCGCCCAAGATTGGACTAAGCCAAATAGCGCCAACCCAATAAGTAACGTTATTGGCTGCCTTCACAGTTCCTTGATGGAGTTTTTGAGTCAAATACACCATCAAGTTTGCTGATATTCCACAATATGCCATCCTTTCAAACACTTCATAAACTGTCAAGGAAAACCAAACAAAAAGCAATAATTAGAATCAATTAAAAATAAAATAAAATAAAAATAATGAAGGATGGGACAAGGAAAAGATGGCCATAAATTTTGACAGTTGTGATTCTCATTGGAAGTTGCAATTGCAAAACCCATGAGTCAACAGCTGATAAACATCAAGGGACCAAAAGCCAGTGAAGACTTTTTGGAATTTTGTAGTTCTATTATTAGTGTATAGCTGAAATTTATGTTTGTTACGACTTTTTAATGTGTGTTTTTAGGTGTTTTTTGTATTAAAAATGTAAAATATGTATTAGAAATGTGAAAAGGGTATTTTGCAATAAGACAGATATTATTATATTATTTTGAAAAAACTATTAGAAAAATGAAACAAAGAGATAATTTAGATGAAAGACAAAAATGTAAGGTCCATTGCGACATTATTCTTTATCGCTAAGTATAATAATAATGTATATGGTCTCATCATACTCGAGACATTTCTCTTGTACTTTTTGTCTTGAAGTAGAAATTAATAGCAATCCATTCTCTTTTTCCCATGACACTCCTTTTGTCGAAGAAATGATCTTGATTGTAATAATTAATTAATAAAGTTTAAAACAATATGACAAACATAATATGGAAGTATAATCTTGGCTGCAAACAAAACTACTGAAAGTGATCTGTATACTTGAATGTAAGCCTTAAGCAATGTTTTTGATGTGGGGTTGGTGAAGATGGGAGTGATTAGTGGCACAAAATTGGAATCAAATGCTAATTAAGTCTTGCCTAATCAAAAGCCAATTCCATGAGGGTTGAGTCTTATGCTTCACAAAAGTTATTCTGTTCTAGTTTTCCAAATGGTTAAATTTGAAAAACGCAAATTAATATAAATAAATTATTTATACTAAACTTTCTGGTCAACTTGTGCAAAAATAAAATAATATAATCAGTACTAAATTTATATTTTCATGGAATTTTTTCCAAACATAGTACTTCCTTCGTCCCATAATTATTGTCTAGTTTGAGTTTTCATTTTTAGTTCAAATTGTATTAAAGTGAAATACCAAACTGGCAATAATTTTGGAACATAAGGAGGGAAACTATTTTTCTAAATTTAAGAATGCAGCCTGACTTTAATTCGAAGCTTTCATCTCAACAGAGAGAATCAATGCACTCTCCTGAAATCACACTCACTAGTGGCCATTGACACTTCCAAGAAAAATACTCAAAAAAAAGAATAAAAATCCAATTGGGCAATTATTTCAGTTCTTTTTTCTTCTTCTTTTTATTTCACCAAAAGAAAAACAAGGCCAAATAATTTAATTCCAACTAGCGGAAATTGTAATAACTAAATGATTAAGCAAACCATGATTAAATAACAGATGGATAAGTAACTTTTTCTTATTTTTTTCTAAAAATTTATAAAATACCTGAAAAAAAAATGTAGTATAAATAAGATTGAAGCAAAGAAACGTAGAAAGAAGGAAAGAAAAAAAAATAAAAATCAGGTACAGTGTAGTTCATCCTAGATAGTACTAAAAATTAAAGCTACATTTGTTTGACTGGTGACCACAACTTCATACATCATCTTACCATGAAAGAAGTCTGTCCAATAGAGTAACGACTCAAAAGAAATCAATGAAGATTTCCAAAACCATCTTGACATTTCACACCAACACCCCCCAACCAACATCAATTTCGCACAAACCTCACCTAAAAATGCTCCAATTTTCCTTGTTTTCTAAAATCTAGCTTTTGCATATGTTTACATTAAGCAGGTATCGGTGGGAAAAATATGAAGATTAGAGAAGAAAGATATTGAATGGTAATACGATAATAATGTCTTATGTGCGTCTGAATTTCACAAAATCGCAAAAATGCAATATGTCGATGTTAACATAATTTGAGAAGAGAGAAACACCAACGAGAAATAGTAAGTAAAATTTACCAACAATGAAAGAGCAAGCCTTCCATCTTCCTCTCTTGGACCTAAGAACAGGGTTCCCTCTAAGATCCACGGTTCCATCTTGAGTATACTCACTAAGGCCATCTTCCATAGCCATGGGGGGAAAGCTAAGGAGGGGGATAAAATTTTAGCAGCACTCTCCTATATGAGAGAAATGGAGAAATAGGAGGTTTTTTTTTTGTTGTGAAATTTGTTGGTGCCTTGAGTTCCTCAAGTTGGTTCCCTTTTATAGGCTCAGTTGCTGCCTTTTTGTGGGAATTTAAAATTTTGGAAGGTCACTATTTTGTGATACTGCACAAAAAAAAAAAAAAAAGTAGTACTGCCCACCGGGGGAGAAGTTGTTGTTTGGAAAATGTGATACTTCCCCTTCGAAGTTGACTACTGCCAAACCGCCATTCTTGTCACCAAAGTTGTATCTTCATCCTCACTTTTTTGATAAATTTTAAAATTTTCTTTATTACTTACTTTTTGGTTATATAATATATACTCTGCCAATGATCTACCCCATCAATAAAGTGAAAAGTGAGATCTGAGAGGTAACAAATTAGTCCGTCATTAAAAGTTTAAAGAGTATAAAACCGTATATAATACAAGGATATTATTAATTACATCAACTGTGTTAAGTATATACTTCCTCATGTCCTTAATATAAGACATTTTGATTTGTCTTAGGTTTCACTTAGTACCCATTTTTAATTAATACAAAAACCTTAAAAGTATTTCATAACAATTAAGAGAACACAAAGAATGTGAAAATATATATTTAAGGCTTTTTTGTCGTTTAAAAATGTGTATTAGGTGAAACTCAAGACAAATAAAAATACCTTATATTAGGGACCGGAGGGAATACTTTAGATTATGATATACTCCCTCTGTCTCAAAATTATTGTCCAGTTTGATATTTCACTTTTAGTACAATTTAAACTAAAAATAAAAACTCAAACTGGACAATAATTTCAGGACGGAAGGAGTACTACAATCAATCACTAATCTCATCTAATATTCCAACTTTTATGAAGGAGTAAATCTCAATCCATCCTATAAGCGAGATGTAAAACCAATGTCTTTTATTTTTAATAATGGAGAATCTTGTTTCCTAGGCTAACAGTGCATATGGATAAGGACAAGCTGAAAGCCTGAATCTAAAAGTGAAAAAACTGTATTTGGAATCACGAGTAATAATTTTATGAAGATCAATTAGTAGATTATTAATGAATATAGGACGGAAGTAGCGTAACCTTTGTTTTTCTTTTTAGACTAGAGTCGGAGAAGGAGCCGAGATCAAATAACAATTGTCTTCTTCTCCTACGCTAGTCTTTACCTCAATATTACAACAGTTTCTGTGAAATATGACCTAATAAAACAACGGAAATGCAATATTAGCACTAAAACTTTTAATAATAAATATGAATAATATTTGATAAAAAAAAAATTGGGATACATGATCAGGTTGCCGATCGACTGTGTGGCATGAACCATGTGTTTGGCTACTCAGATTATTGTCTTCTTCACAGGTCTAAAAGCTGTAGTGGCTTACAGTTACGTGACAAAAATAGAGTGATGACGAAGGGTTTCATCAGTTCCTATTTTGCGGAATACGAAATGGATTTTCCTTGCTTTCAGGGGATTATGATATTACGTCTTACCTGCAGATCATTATGCATGGATTTTGTTTTCTAGCGACGTTATTCTCTTCGTCCCAAAATAACAGTCGCTTTCACAGACTATTTTAGATCAGTGTTATTATAATTATAATTATTTTTTTTAATTTTTTTATAAGCTTCTTCGGCTCTCAATTGAATGCTTCATCGCTTACGTGGTGCCATGTTGAGTATGAAGCGTGGACAGCGAATTGACTAACATCAATCCAAATTTTAGGCCAAAAGTCTATTTAGCCATTAGAAATCAGCCTTTGTAGTAGTATCCACCATGATATTATAAGCTCCTAAACACAGATTTGTCTAATATTTACTTTTAGATCGACGTGAAATCATTACTTTCTGAGTCTCTATTTCAAAAGAAAGAATTATTCTCTACCCATAATTGGTAAAGTGTAACTTTTATTATTATATTTTTTAATGAGGCACAATACAAATTAACTTGCTGTGTATCCATTTAAAATAAATTCATTGAAACCATTTCCTGTTTTCTTAGGGTAAATTGAAAGACTGAGACCTCATGCATCCATCAAAGCCTTTCAATTTTTAGTAAGGCACATCAACTGATGATCTTCAAGTCACAATAATGTATAGCACCTACCGCTGTGCATTGGACAAGGCAAATTGTCAGCGCTTTTTTTTTTTTTTTTAAAGATTAATCACCAATACAAAAAAATAAAATAAAATTTCTTCCATATTTTTTTTCCCCTTCATTCTTTCACTGACAGCAACAATTCTCGTCTCCATACCTTGATTAGTTTACGATAAATAAAATTATAGAGAAATTTGAAGTTTATAATTTTATTATTATTATTATTATTATTATTATTTGGTGCTAACGCCTTGAATCATAAATTGGTGAAAATTGTAGGAGGCCAACAAGAAGTGTATGTACTTTAGGCGGTGGGTATTATTTGACACATGCTTATTATGGTGAGTGGGGAAGATGGCGTATTGACCAAAAAGTCCAAATTGGACAGTAAAAGTCAAACAGTGTGGACTCTACCACACCGTTTCGTCCACTCAAAGAGGATGACGATCACTGATTCATTGTTTATTAACTCGTATCAATCAAAATATATATAACACACAATACCATTTTCCTGTGTGCCCAATATGAAATGCATGAATATGTTATACATAGTTCAACTTTTAGTCTTTTACTGTTCTTTTTTCTGCTATATATGTAAATGATCTTTTTGGGCTGTGAGACTGACATAATTTGAATCTTATTACTAATGCAGAAAGTAGATAGTCACCCAAAAAAATAAAATAAAAAAAATTGAATAAGTAAATACTCCTTCCGGTCCTTAATAAAAGACACTTTTTATTTACCTTAGACTCACATAGTATGCATTTTTAAATGATAAAAAAACTTTAAAAATATATTTTCACAATCGTTATTTTTTCTTGATTGTTATGAAATATTTTCAAGATTTTTTAGTTAAAATGCATATGAAGTAAAATTTAGTACAAATTAAAATATCTTATATTAAGGACCGAAAAAGTAACTGCTATTGAACGGGTTAAACATATAATGTGCACCAAGCTAGAGATTACGTGGGTGGAGTACTCCTAATAGTATTCATTCTTCCAATAAATTAGCGTTCCGTTATAATAGTTTACGTACCTCAAATCAAAAGCATCAATATGTACAATTTTTTTTGTTTAAAAAAATTCCTTTAAATTGTACTAAGTAGTATTTTTATATTTGGTATGACACAACGTAAGTATAGTTGCTCAGATACCGACTTCTTAAGTTTGACCTTATTATGAAAATGTTAAAATCCTTGTAAGAACTTAAAAAATTTCGTAAGATGTTATTAATTATGAATTTTGACCTTATTATTAGACTACAATCAGATTCCGATCCATGACAACGGAGGCAAATTGAATTTTCCATAGACACTTCTAATGTCATACTTACGTGACCTTTACATGGGTTGACTTGCATTCTAATTACGTAACAGTGTGAAGATGGTGTGGTGAAATTTTTTTTTTTTTTAACAGTGGTGAAATAGATGTACGTAGAAAGTCTAATGATATACTCCCTCTGTCCCAAAATTATTGTCCAGTTTGAAATTTCACTTTTAGTACAATTTGAACTAGAAATAAAAACTCAAACTGGACAATAATTATGGGACGGAAGGAGTACCTACTATTTTTCTTTCAGAAAAATCGTTTAGTTTATATAAAAAAAAAAACAACAAAAACAATTGATTTTAAAGAGCGCAAGTAGAGAAGAAAAAGTATTAATGTAAGTGCAAGTGTGCAACTGTGGGTAAAAAATGCTCACGCAAAATGTATGACCGGAAATATTTGGTTGGCAGTTGCATATTACATTTAGATTAATTTTCTTTTCTAAAAAAGGACACTAGCCTTCTTTGTGTTTTCTCCTATTCTAAGGAGTCCCGTCACTATAACCATAACTGGTGCAACTTAGGAATGTCGTCCCAAACTTCTGTAGAAATATCACAAATTCATCCTTAAGATTTTCACATGTTGGCTTCCAACCTATTAAACAAAAATTGGGTTGATTTAGTCTCAAACACTTATTTTGACTTAAAATTGACACGAAAACAAAGGGACGTCAACTATTGATGCTAAACAAACGTAAAAAACAAGCAACTGGAGTGGGGTATATATAGTTTTATACACTTTCTGTCCTAAAATAATTGGTCACTTAAATTTTCACTTTTAGTAAAATTTGAATCAAAGATAAAAATTTCAAACGGTACAATGTTTTCAGGATGGTGGGAGTAGTTCCAAAACGAAATACTCCCTCCGGTCCTTATTATAAGTAATTTTGATTTCGTCATATGTTAAAGTTAGGATGTCTTTTTAATTAGAAAAAAAAATCTTAAAAATATATTTTTACATTTATTATATTCTCCTAATTATTATAAAATATTTTTAAGATTTTTATTTTAATTAAAAAACCATACTAAGTAAAACTTAGGACGAAATCAAAATGCCTTGTAATAAGGAGCGGAGTTAGTACCTCCTTTTCATGTATTTGACAGCCATTTTCTTACGTTTAATGATCTGGTGACGACTAAAGCGTGAGTAGTATTCTCCTTTTTTATTTTTGCCATTCTTCATTAATTTTCTCCCTTGTATGAAAATCTGATTGTTACTTGCATGTGTTTCATTTTATAAGTAGTATACAGTGAAACTGAAGTAAAATGCTAACTATATATAGAAGCGAGTATTTGGTAAAATTCTGACAATTGCATTGTTAATACTCTTGATATGATGTTCATTTGATTGACCAACAATTCTTACTCTGCTTGATTTAAGCTTCAATTGACTATGAGCATCAAATCAAATAGGGATGCTACTAAGGATCGAACCAATTCTTCACTATCTTGTTTTTACTTCTTTTATCGTTATTCTTGAAGAAATAACACATGAGAATAATCCATTCCCGACTTATTTC